CTGGGACGGTTCAATGACCTGGGGCTCTGCAGAATCGCTGGCAAATTCATCGACGCAGAGCAACAGGGATTGTTTGGAGGGCTATCGTGCCCCCCCAGCTAGCAGGAGAGCTCACAGGCTTGGAGTGAGTCTTCTGAGATGCTCCAGCCATCCTCTCCTCTCGGGGAACAGGTAAAGCCCGATGGCATCAATCTGTGCTGACACAGGCAGCTCCTAAACGTAGGCAGCGCGGTGCGGGGGGACAGCCAGGGACGTATACTGCAGGGTGATGTACAAATAAGCGAATGCGCAGGTCGGCTTTGGCCACCCTATTGAGTAATGCAAGTGAGATTGCTGAACAGTCGCAGTGCAGCGACAGCCCAGAGGAAAGGGGGCTCTATACAACAGTCTCATGCAGTGTCATGATCCTCCCACCACTGAATGCTGTCCCTGCGGGAGGAGAAGACCCAATAACTCTTTGGCTCTCTGGGCAGGATACCCAAATTGGTCAAAACCAATAGTCCAAGATCCTTCCATGTTTGGAAGCAAATTCTTGTTAACTTGGCAAGTCTGTTTATCCTTGAAGAGCGTGGGGGGTATTTGTGTGTATATATAGCCTTCATTATAAGGATGTGCGGAAAAGCAAGTTTCTAACCAAGTTTGTTCCATATGTGGCTATAATGATGTGCCACTTTGGACTGGGACTGACTCTACCTTCAAAAGGGAAGAGGAGAGGAGAGGTGCTGAGACATTGGATGAGTGGCACTTGGGTTGGGCGGGCGCTGGGTTCGTCCTAGACCAGCACAGGAGCTCCACACTGGTATCTTGGATGAGGGCACCAGAGGTGTTTTGCCCCAGTCAGTTCACAGTCGGCACCTGGTTCTGATGCAGGCTGAACTCTTTGGCTTTGAGGCGTAGGCTGGCAATGCTGTTGGCCATATTGACCCCTTGGGTGGGCGTTGCGGTCCCACTTGAGCTGTAGGATGGCACAGTGCTGCAGGGAGAGAGAGCAGGGGGAGGAATGAGACGCCAATGCAGCCCATGAAGAAGCCCCGATGCCCACGGCAGCTCTGGAGCTAAAGAGCACCGTTGGCTTCATTCTTTTTGGGGTTGCTGGCAACCTGAGCTTTCTGGCCCTTTCCCCAGGCCACATTGGCTGTTCTCTTAGTAGACATCTCCCGCAAGAGCAGTCAAGGTTCTAGCATTTTTATGTCACTGAATGCATGTGGGAACCCCTCAAAAAAATGTGGCAGAAGGCCCTGCCTCTAGCTTTTGGATAAGATGGCTGGACACTCAAAGCTGGGAACCAGAAGGGACCTGTTCCACTCCTCCTGTGCTGAGATGTGGGAAGGGTCAGCATGAGGCCAAGTGAATCCCTCACAGGGACTGTACCCCTGGTCTGAAATGCGTGGAAATGGGGGAAATCTGCAGTGGGAACCTCCGCAAAGGCAGCGCTGTGGTGGGCAGAGGACACGCAGCTGGGGGACCAGCACTGAAACAGATTCCCAAATCAAAGCCAGACGGGCTTATCCGCTGACCCATGTTCATTTCTAGCTCCTCCATCTCCCTTTCAGCCCCATAAAGCTCCCTGTGTCCTCGCCCGCAGCACAGGGCTGTGTTCCCTCAAGGGAAAACAATCTCTAGACAGTTTGCCCCAAGGCCACATGCCCTCCCTCTCATCTTCCCTGTTCAAAGCACAGCTCCCCGCAAAACCTGGACTTACCTGTACGGAGAGGTGCTGGTCCAGGAAAGATATTCTGGGGTCAATGTGGTGGGTCGTGGGGCCATGGGCTGTTCAATGGCTGCTTCTTGGCTGTAGGATTTGAGGAGCGATGCTGATCTATTGGCCAACATCGCCCTCTCATTACGGCGAAACTTGGCCCTCCGGTTCTGAAACCAGACCTGGGTGGTGAAAGAACATGGTTAGTGTGGCTGGACATAGAGTGGGGCCGTGTGGGTTGGTTTGTCGCGGCACAGGAGCGAGCAGGGATGTCCCCACTTCCCTCCTACCAGCCCTGATTTTGCTCACATGCAGGCTGATATAAGGGAGGGGACAGTCCCTGCTCTTACACGGAGACAAGGGGCAAAGGGTTTTATCTTCTCCCACACAAACCTTTGCTCACCTGGACTCTTGCCTCGCTGAGGTTCACCCTCCTCGCCAGCTCCTCTCGCACAAAGGCATCGGGGTAGTGTGTTCGCTCAAAGACTCTCTCCAGAGCCTGGAGCTGGCTGCTGTTGAACGTGGTGCGGTTCCTCCTCTGTTTCTTCTTCCTCTTGGTCGCCCCGCGGCTCGGGCTCAGGCTTTCACCTGGCGAAACCACAAAAGAGGCAGCTCGTGAACCAGACCTGCGCACGAACCTGCCACCCCTCTGAATCCCTGCTCTGTGCGCACACTGCATTACAGCCTGTGTTGTGCTCCTCGGGCTCAGCAAGGCCAGGCTTGAGCCTTCCTTGAGAGGACTGCACTGATTTGCTCAAATACCAGTGGGTAGTATTGCTGTTATGTGTAATTCTGCAGGGAGCAGGGAGCAACGTGCATACAATCATGTGGATTCTGGCTGTGGGAATCAAAACCTATTTCAGGACCTGCTGGAGTTAAGCGTTAAGATCAACATTTACAAAGGTCTGAGGTTTTTTAGTGGCTGGTTAAAACCTGCCTGAGGCCTGGTTTTGAATACTGGTCTGCCTGGACTTGGCTGGGGCAGGGCAGCACTTGTCCTGAACTGCTGGAGTTGCATCCCACAACTGCCCCCCATCAAGGACACTCCTGCAGTAGTATGTCTTGGGCTTGGCTCTTTCTAAGGGTTTAGGTCAAGCTTTCCATGGGTGGCAAAAGAAGATGGAAGCCAAAAGGTCTTTGAGATCCTGTTCTCAGCTCTCAAACTCCAGCAGCTTCCGGAATTCTGGCTATGGCGTGTCTACGCAAGGTGACACAGGACTGTAATTGGGCGGTTGCTCATAAAAAAATCTCCTCTTCATAGCTAGGGACAAATGCTACCACGCTTCTTGGAGTTCAACTTCCAAAGTGTTAATTTCTGGCTTTGTTGGCTCACAGAAATGTGAAGCTGAGGGTGTAATTTGGTTTCTCAGTATTGATCTTGGGCTTTCAGCCAGGCTGAGATGAATCTTCTCTTTATCACTAATATCATCAGATTAGGTAAGTTTATGGAGTCTTCTGAGATGCCCAGTTAGTTGCCTGTAAAGCCTTCATAGAGAATATACCTTGCTGGTTTTCTTCTATATGGAGGTACCGCTTAATTATTCTTTCCCCTAATAAAGCATCTGGATCCAATCTGTACCCACTGGTGGGAAAGTATTTTTTGAATTTTTTGAAATGTTAATAGCTTTATGACATCGCTCTGATTCATAGCAGGGTTATATTGGGGTTTTCTGCTCTGTATCAAAACTAGAGGCTCTGATGGTAGGAAATATTGCTCCCTGAATATGCTGAAGCTATAAGCTAATAAGCTATCTTGATACTTATTAAATAGATGTGCAGCATTTCCAGATGATACTTGAGCAAGCAACAAACTCTACAGTAAGGGATATTAACTCTCCTGCTTCAAGATATGGTCCAACTGTTGAGTTAGGAGGAAACTTCAAGTTCCAAAATCTTCAGGGCCAGAAAAACCTACTTGGGCCTTAATTCTGAATAGCTGAAGCCACGAAAACATCGCCAACAAGTTCTCCATCAAGTCCGTAAGGTCCATTTATGCTGGAGCATATCACTGTCAAGGGCTGTCCCATCCTGCTACGAGCCTTGAGGAGCAGAGAAACCCAGATACCTGTGGGCAGGTTATCCTGGGGACTAATCACCCTTCTGCCAAAAGCAAGATTCAAGTTTGTAGCTACTGCAGAGCTTCCTGTACCTTTCTCTGAAAAATATGATGCTGGCCAACGTCAACACAAGCGTCTTGGTGCCAAACACAAGCCGCTCCCAGGGATGCGGCAGCCGAAGTGGCAGAGAAGCAAGGGTTAAATTTATTTCCAGTGTTGGCAGCGGACTCACGGAAAGAGCAGATTGCTTCTCTGGCGCTTTGTTATAGCGAGGATCCGTGCCAGAGCCTGGGAGCGCTGGGTGCCTCGAACACCATGACCCATTAAGGACCTAAGCGTTGGGCGGGGAGGAGGCGCTGGCCCACATGGGGACCTGGCAGCCCGACCTGGGCGTTGCCGTCTGCCCCGTCCATGGGTGCCTACCTGGGCGCTGCATCATTTTAGCCATAGTGGGGCCAAGCTGCTGGGACCGTGGAGCAAGGAGAGCGTCCTGGCACTGGAAGAGGTGGCCAGGAGGAAAAGCAGCTCTGTCTGGCTCCTGCGGCCTCGTTTCAGCCACTGGAGCCAGGCAGAGCTTTTCCCGACCCTCCTCTTGGGTCTTTGAACTCCGGGCGCATTTGATCCTTCATTGGCCATCGCGATCCCCCCGGGCTGGTAACGGCTGGTGCTGCTGCATTTGGGAGGCGGGTGCTCTTGGTGGGGGAAGGATGCTATGAACGGCACCGTGTCTGAAATACGTGCGGGTCTGAGGCTGCCCATTCCCTGCAGACCACAGGCTGCCCTTCGCCGCGCTTCGTGCTTAAAGGCTCGCAAATAAAATTCCGCAAATTCCCTCCAGCCCGGGTTTCTGCAGCTTCAAATGTTCTGCCAATCTCGGCTTTCCAGTTGCCCCTTTTAGTTAAGCTCCTTTTTTGGTCCTGTTTTCCTTCAGCGAACTAACCAGCTGCTGGATTAAAATACAAAAGTCAAGTCATGGTTGTCCTTGAGCCTTCTGGGAACCTGGGATCAAAATGGGAACCATCCATGCCGCGAAAGGCCCACAAAATGTAATAGGGCGAGAACCATTTCCTTGCGGGTTTCTGATCGCGCTATAGGGCTTCGTGGGGCAATTACAGGACGGGGCTTGGTTCGGGAAAGGCTATCACCAAGGGCACCTTCTGCCTCTCCACCACACTTTTTAATAGGAACAATTTCAACAGAACCCTATTAAATATATAAATAAAATTTATAACCCCCATTTGATTTCATCCCAGTTTAAAATCTGGCTGTAGGACTTTTTCCATAAGCGATGGCTTCTCTCACCCATGCTAATTTGGCTGAAAGAAAGGAGGAGGCGAAAAGATTTTCTTAAATTAACTCTCAAACTGGCTCGGTAGGATCTGGCCTCATCTCCGGCCGTTTTTTATCTCCTCCAGCCCATGAAGGCTAAAGGGAGGTGGAAGCCAACAGGAGAGAGGCAGGCTGCGTGTCGGAGCAGCCGTGCCGAGCGGTTTCGTGCCGAGGCGGGCCAACCGT